ACTCAAAATTTTTTCTTTTATGAGATTTTATTTGAACTTAATTGTCCACTTTGATCTAAAACACACACAAAAGGAAGCTAAAATTCAAACAGTTTCTCTTTCATGAGATAATAAAATGAAGCAAAACAATTGTAAAGTTTTTAATTGTGTCTTTTTTTTTCTTTTGACCCAAATCATTTTTTAAATATATATTTTTTAATTTTTTGAGATTGTAATACAGTTTCATCAAGTCTTCGAAATTACAAGAACAATGTCATAGGCCAAAGTTGTTATTTCATACAGAAAAATGTTAACAGCTGTTTGTTTATATGTGTTTATATAATGGTAAGAATATTTTGCTCTGGAAAATAAATCAAGTATACTCAAAATGTGATATTCACTTCAAAACAATATATTTTCCTATTAAAAATTGAATTTCTTGTAGAAAAGATTAATAGTGAAGAAAAGAGAAGATAGAATTTAGACTAATGTACTACAGCAGATGAGCCTGCCTTTCAGTGCGTTGGGTGCCTGGTGTCAGTCTCCTCTATCGTCTAGAAAAGCACGGCTGAGCACTGATGGAAACCCTGTCTGCACAGGCAAAGCTCTTCTTCTTCTTCGGACCTGGTTTCTCCATCTTTCTGCCCATTTCACGGAATTCCATGTGGCCTGGCACACGGCTACCTAATGATGCTGCTTACTGCTTCTCTCCGGTCCCAGCAGGCCCCTTCACCATCCACACAGGACCACTGTCTTTGATGCACACCGCACTTTGCGCCATGCTGGAAAATCGCCTGACTTGGACCCCACAGTGCTACCTCCAATTTGTTTTCTTTTATTTGTCTCTAGCCTTCAATTTCTCCTGTTCAGACTTTAGACTGGGGGCTGTGCTGATATTGTTTTCATTTGAGAAAGCAGGAAACCAAACGGTAGCACACATAGACTGCAGGGTCCTTCTTGATTGTGCACTAATATGTCCAGAGCTGGATTGGTGACTCAAACAGGAGACCAGGAACCTTGACTATTTTCACCTGTCTTCTCTGTCATCTCTGTTAGCAATGGTTTGTTTTCTATTCACAATACAACCATCTGGCTCTGAGGAGGCGAGAGGCTGAGGTGAAAAGACTCCTCTGCTTTAAAAAAAAAGAAAAAAGATTTTTCTTTGTTTTAATATGTGTCTTAGGGTGACCACTGCTGTGATGAAACACTGTGACCAAAAGCAACTGGGGGATGAAAGGGTTTATTTCACTCACACTTTCGTGTAACACTTCATCATTGAAAGCATTTGGAGAGTAACCTGGAGAGAAGAGCTGATACAAAGGCCAGGGAGGGGTACTGCTCACTGGCTTGCTTCTCAGGATTGCTCAGCTTGCTTTCTTTTATAATATCCAGGACTGTCAGTTCAGGCGTGGCACCACTCCAATGGGCTGGGCCCTCCCTGATCAACAACTAGTTAAGAAATTGCCATGTCTCCAGGTTATGGAGGCATTTTCTCAATTGGAGTTTCCTCCGCTCAGGTGACTGTAGCCTGTGTCAAGTTGACATAAAATTATCCAGCCCATTTAATTCATTTTTTAAATGTGTGTGCATGCACATGAGACTGACTGTGCGTGTGCGCGTGCGCACATGTGCAAGCACCCTCATGCTCAGGAGGCATTAGATTCCATGAAGCTGGAGTGACAGGTAGCTGTGAGCCAGTGGTCCAGCTAATATGCGTGCTGGGAACTAAACGTGGGTTTCCTGGAAGATCAGGAAGCTCTCTCAACTTATGAGCCATCTCTCATATACTTACTTTGCTTTTTAATCAGGAAAATATTCCTCAGAAATCTCATCTTAAATGCTTTTGGTCAGAAATGGCTCCTCCACCTCAACTCCACAATATTTACTTGAACAGGAAAAGGGTGGCCAACGGTTTCTTAGGACAAATGAGATTCCTTCCTTGGTGTGTACACATTCCACAAACACATTTCTCAGGCTGATTGACAGAGGCCACCTGATTTGCCTGCCACTTCTGGTTGTTGAGGACCAAATTGTTTTCAGTAAAACTGGCAGTCTCTAAAGTTCCATTTTATATTACGGTCCCCTAGGTCCTGAAAACCAGCTGGGATGGGCAAGTGGGTTGGAAACAGGAATCTCAGTGTTCATAACATGTTTCCGACAAGACTGACCTCAGCATTCCAATGACTGTTTTTGTCTACGGAACCAAGTGCCATAATCATACAAATACACTGATCCTCCTATTCTTCCTCTTTCCCATCCTCCTAGTTTAAGTCTCAGATACTTAAAACCTTCACCATGCTGTCACAGTACGATAGGAGTGGTGATCCTATTGATGTTCTTTTGTTTTTCTGTTTGCTTCTCTGTCAAGTAGTCTTCAGTCTTCTTTTTCCTTACTGTGTTCAATATAAACATGGCAGCTGGGGCTCAAAGCTCTCAGCCAACATTTTCATCTAAGTCTTAGTTGCTGTCTTATTTCTAGTCAGACATTTTCTATGAATTTCTAACATATCCTATGTCTATTGCAATGACTCAGTCGAGGTATTGCCCCCAGACAGAATTTCTGGCTTTGTTTAAAACAAACAAACAAACAAACAGACAAACAAACAAACAAACAAATAAAAAAACTACTTCAAACAATGCAATATTACAGCATAAATGGACAAGGCAATTACTTGGTCTGGCTAAAGTTCACAAAGCAGCTCCAAACCGTTTGACCCTTCCAGTAGAATTGAGCTCATCTATGCATGCTTCCTGAGCTTAGCAACTTCCCATGCATTGGCCTCCCTACAAGTCTATAAGGGCTGCAGTGGCCTACTGCTATACGGATCTATTGATTGTTCATTAGATACAAAAGCATCAGCCAGTCTTCATCATAAACCACATCAGTTGTCTTTTTTTGTATATGTGTCTGCCGTTGCATACATGTGGATGGAATCCTGAAGACAACCTTTGGTGGTCTCGTCAGGATTGCTGTTTAGCTACTTGAAAGAACTGATGATTTATTTATATCATTTTAAATGTGTGTTTGTGCCCTCACATACATGTGAGTGAAGGTGTCCCCAGAAGCCAGATGGGTTAGATATCTCTGGAATTGAAATTACAGAAGTTCGTGAGCCGCATGATTTGGGAGCTGAGAATCAAAATCTTGTTCTGTGCAAGAATAGTATGTGATCTTAACTTGAGGTTCCCGACTTCCTCCTTTGAGACAGGGACTACAAAAGGCTTAAAGCTCCTCAGTTGTCCTAGACTCCTCCTGTCTTGTCTCTTTGGTGGTGAGATTTTCAGTCTACCAATACAGCCTCATTTTAAAAGTGAGCCTAGATGCTCCTCTTGACTCTTACTGATGATGAGTTACCAGAGAGGAACATGTGCTGAGCAAGGCTGAGGATGGTGAGGGTGCCATGAGAGAGACAAATAGACGGATGTAGACTTCAGGAGGTTTCCTGGTCACTAAGCATCAAGAAGGCATCCTCATGCAGCTTCTGGAGTACCACAGAAGTCGGCCTGACCCTGCAGTGATTTCTCATGGTTTGTGAAGCCAGTGTCCACATGGCCATACCATTGAACAGCACTGTTTTTCTTCCTAACTGGTTAGCTTCAGGAGCTTGTGAGCGCGCATGCGCGCGCACACACACACACACACACACACACACACACACACACACACACACCCCAAAAAACTGGTCAAACCTGAATCCTCACTTCCATCCCATTTCACAGAATGGGAAGGAGAAAGTGACGAGGCTTTCCACTTGAGAATTCTAAGAACTTGGAAGAACATGTTAAGGTTGGTGTGCAGAGGGAATGTGAGGAGAGAAAAGGAGGACACCATGCCCTTCCCAGGGTCTTGCACTTCCTGCTGCCGCTGTTACACCTCCACACACTCAGAGCCTGAGCTAGTGAGTCAAGAGTCCACAGTCTTTTGTATTTGGAATGTAAGTCACTCTCGCGGTGTCTCTCTCTGTCTCCTCTCGCTCATGTTTGCTCTCTCCCTCTTTGTGTGTGTGAGGACAGAGACAGAGAGACAGACAGACAGATAGACAGAGAGGAGAGAGATCCATGCCTCTCTAATATTGTCCACTCATTACTCGTTCTTAGAAAATAAAAACATCCAGAAATCAGTTGGCCACCCAGAGAGGTAGCTCTGTTCTGCTTCCAGTCCCAGGTTTCTTTTCTTTTCTTTTTCTTTCTTTTCTCTTTCTTTCTTTTTTTAACTTTCTGTGTTTCTGTCTTCCCCCGGTGGCTTTGTGTTAGTTGCACTGGGGCAAGAGCAACAATTGGAAATGCGATGTTCTTTATCTCCAGCAAAATATAGCGTAATCACAATAACGCCTCAATCACCTTGCCTGATTTTATTTATTCCTGGCTTATTTATGCCGGGAAAGGTAGCATTTCGGACCTTATGTATGGAGACCATGAAGTGATTGAGAAAATAGGGACCATTCTTTTCCAGTCTTTCCCCTTCTACCTAGTGGCTCGCGATCCATTCCAGGTTTTGCGGCCGACTCTGCCTCTGAATTTCGGCAGTGCACTGGGTAGCACGTTTCTCTCCTTCTCTCCCTCCCCTCCTTTCTCCTTCCCCTTCGCCTCCAGTGTCAGTCTCCAGGATTTTCTCTCTTCCTATTTCAAGAAGACTCTCACAGGCTCCCTCAGCCTATGTGAAGCTGAGGTTCCCCAGGATCCCGCACATCTCCATCACATACCTCCACGCACACACCTCCCGAGAGCTCCGCGCTCACACCCACAAACACGCGCGCAGACTCTCGCGCCGGCCTGTCCATCTCCCTCCGGGGGGAGCCCGCGCGCGGTCCCACCTTCGCCTCACACACTGACTAGGCGAGCTCGCAGCGCTCCACGACTCTGCGGCTCGGGACTCGGACGCGGCGTGAACACCCCCACTGTGGTATTTAAAAAAAGAGAGAGAGAGAGAGAGAGACGTTTCTTTGCCTTTTCCTCTTCTCTCGTCTTTCTCGCACGGTTTTCCACCCGAGCGGCTAGCGGAGCCGGCTGCATTCCCGAGGCAGCCCTGCTTGGCTTGCCTTCCTCCATCTGGCTTATAAAAGTTTGCTGAGCGCAGTCCAGAGGGCTGCGCGGCTCGTCCCCTCGGCTGGCGGAAGGGGGTGACGCTGGGCAGCGGCTAAGAAGCGCGCCGCAGGCTCTGGCGGGCTTTCGGCTCGAGGGGCAAGGTGAAGAGCGCACAGGGAGCTGGGGGCTGCCGAGGTGGACTTGCGTGTTGCACCATGCCTTCTTGGATCCGGGCTGTGATTCTTCCTCTCTCCGGGCTGCTGCTGTCCCTGCCGGCCGCGGCGGACGTGAAGGCTCGGAGCTGCAGCGAGGTCCGCCAGGCTTACGGTGCCAAGGGATTCAGCCTAGCGGACATCCCCTACCAGGAGATCGCAGGTAAGCGCGGGCGCCGGCCCGGGGCCCGCTGCAGCCCCGGGAGGCAGCGGGGCTCCCTCCCCGTCCCCCCTGTTGCTCAGTTGGTGCTCACTTTCCGCGGGTGGCTCCCGGGAAGCCCGCGTCCGCGCCTCGAGGCGGCGGAGGCTGGTCCCGTCCCTCCGGCGGGAGGGAGGTGTGCGTGCCCGCCGCCTCATTGTGTGCACACGCGGGAGCACCCTCGCCCCTCGCGTCTGCTCCCGCGCCCTGCCTCCTCGCTGGCTGGCCTAGAGCCTAGCGGGACCGAGGGAACGGGGGACGGTGGAGGGGCGACGGCTAGCGAGGGCGGAGACCGGAGCGGGGCGCCCATCGCATCCCCCTCGCCCGGGCAAACTTAGGAGAACTGCGGCCGCAGTTCGCTCAGCGCCACCGTCTGAGTGGCGCCTTCTCCGCTCCCGCCTTCGCGCCGGCGGGGGCGGTGGAGAGACGCGGAGGTTCCCCGACTCCGGCTCTCCGCGCTCCAGATCCATTCCAGGGACCCGGCGCCTGGCTCCGGGGCTGGGGACCGGCCACTAAGGGAAAGGAGGCTCGTCGCCCGGGTCTCCAGGATCCGGACATCGGAGTCCCGGGGCCGTTGGCTTGGGGGTTGGGGGGTGTTCGTAGTCCATCTGCTTTAGGTTTGGGGCGGGATTTCCCGTTAGGGTACCCCGATGCTTCCCGGGCTGCGGTTGGCTACTCGGGCTGAGCAGACAACCCGGCCGCCCGGCTTAGCGCTCCGGCCGGCTGGCGCACGCGGAGCCAACTTAAGCTAGTGACCCGATGGGGGCGTTCGTCTCCGGGGTCTGCACGTAGCGCTCGGTGGCTTGCCGGGTCACGAGCATTCTTTCCTCCCGGGCTCTCGAGCCTCCACCCTCCTCCCCGGAGCCAGTGTATGCAGCCCTTTGGGCTCCACCAACTTGCGCCGCAGCCTGGGTGTGTGTGTTCCGGCTCTTAGCTCCAACCGAACCCGAACTTCATTGGGGCTCTGTGAATGAAAGGTGTCGGGGACAGATAATCCTTTGGCTGCGAGGGAGCCGGGCTGAAAGGGGCCAAGGGGAGACTGGAGGTGCGGGGAGGGCGCGGGCTGCTCACACCGGGTAGCTGAAGTCCTAAGTGACCTCAGATCGCTGGATCGCCACCAGACTCTGGGTTTTGCCAAAGAACTGGTGGACTGATGGAAAACGCTTGCAAATATCTTAAAACATCTCCGTTGTAGTGCCTTGTGGAATTACTGCTTTATTGTGGTCGATCTCTAAATTTAAGGAGTGAGGGTCTTAACTTACACAGCAATTAACACATTTCTATCAATTTGGACATTGCCAAAAGGAAAAGGAAAATAAACGACGTTCACAAATCACATACAGCGCGGCGCTTTATGTAGAGGGAGTGTTTTTTGTTTGTTTGTTTGTTTGTTTTTTTGTTTTTTTTCCCCAATTCTTAGCCAGGCGTTCCATTCCCGGGCTCAGGAAGGCTGGGGAAGCTGTAGTGAATTAAGAGACTCTCTTCAATCTGGGATTTCGCCCACTGGGTTCCCGCACTCCTAATTTGTTAATCAATGACTAGAAAGGGACTACCCCTGCAGCTCCTTAAGTTTCTTAACCTCCTTTCCCTTTGTCTACTGTTGTTTCATTCTTTTTAATTAATTGATAAGGATCAGCTTCACCTTTTTAACTCCCCAAATCTCAGGAAATTCAACTTTTAAAAGGCATAGTTTAGGGATCTCTTCTAGGAACTCCTTTTCTTTTTTAATCTGGCCATTTCAAAACTGTATCTTTTAAACACACATGTTTCCCAACATGATTTCAGATAAGATATCTCCAAGAAGAGAACAGCTAAGTATTTTTAAATTGCATCGGTATTGTTTAGCAGATAATGAGGCTCTCAGGAGACCCTCAGCACCATCCTGCTCCTGGCTATCACAGGCTGATGCCCATTGTAAGTCATTTCTGTAGTCACCAATTACTTTGCTGGAGAGCATTTCCAGGGGCTGGACACACTCTTCAGTAGTAGTTTAACTGCAGAGGGTTGGGTTGTATATTTTTGTTTTCCCTTAAAGATCACAGACTGTTAATGGCTTTGAATCCCTAAAATCCCTCCACTCCACTGAACTTACCTTGGCCAGGAATGGGTGAGGCTGAGGACTTTACCATAAGCCTACAACGCTGGTGGACAGGATCAAGGTCCATGTCCCGTGGGGTCAAAGGCACATTTGTTAGGAAAACAATGAGTTGTAGGATAACTGAAGGGTTTTTAGTTTGGGGGGGGGTGGTTCAAAATAAACTTCACTCAGTGCTACGGTAAATTGCATTTACTGTTGCTGTTGGAATAACCACTTAAGAAAAAGGTAACTACTAAATAAGCATTCCCCCGCTGCCCGCCCTAGCGCTTGATAATATTTACATATAATTATGTACTGTAGGTAAGAGTGTGTGGTGGCTGTCCCTTCTCTAAAGTTGTTGTCTTGTCGTCCATTGCCTTGCTTAGAAATCCAGTGGTTTGCTTGAGAAATGGCAGGAATTTAAAAGAACTGCTGTTCAGGCTCCAGATTCCAATTGAGCCATATTCACAAGTAGCTTGCATAGTGAAATAACTAGGAAGTAATAAGGATATTATATTTCATCTCAAGATTATTAAAGTTTTACTCCAAGCGCAGAATTATAAAACAGTGTTGCCCTTTTCTCTTCCTGGGTAGAGGGAAGCTCTTCAAACCGCCAGAGGGTGACTGCGGGTAATATATAAACCTAGAAAGTGCCTTCAGAAGGGGAGTTTGGACCATCAATCTTCACTCAGCCTTGATTTTAAACCCATGCCGGCAGATTAGATAGACTCTCCTCCCTGGAAGATTTCCAAGGGAGCCAACCCTTGCGCCCCTCTCAGCAATCCATTCTAATGCTTCAGAATTCCTGTGGTACAAGCAGTGTTTCCAGACATCTAGCCAAACGCCTTCACAATGGCCTTGTTTGTTTTCCCTTCTGTGTCCTGGGAAGAGCCTAAGCTCAGACCATCAAGGCTTGGTTAGAAACCTGATCAAAGCTTCCTTCTTCCTTCAGGCTCAGCTACTCTCATTTCTTGCTTGTGCTAAACTTCTCAGAGTCGCATAGATGGTGGTAGCACCTGCGTGGGCTATGTGCAGATTGTCTGTAGAGCGCTTGTGTGGTATGCACAGGACATTATGTCTCTCGCAACACACACACACTCACATGCACTCTTACTCACACATTCCCTCACTCATGCACTCAGACCCACACTCTCACCCTGCCCGCCTCCCCCCCCCCACATCACTCTTATAAATGTAGAAATGTGGGGATTCAGAGAATGCTGTTTCAGGCTTTCTTATATGTAGCTTTGATGAGATCTTTATTCATAATATTCCATAGTTCAGAGTATGAAACATGATTAGCTGGCCATGATTCCGATTTTCTCGTTCATCTAACATAACTTTTCTAACACGCCATGTAACACTTCAGCAGATCAGATGGCTCAGCTGGTTAATGAAATTGCTTTAGCTCCAGCCTGAGTCTGATTGGTGGGACCCACCTATTTGAAGAAGAAAATCAGCTCTCACAGGTTGTCCTCTTTGTCCAGATGTGTGTTCTGGCACCTGCATACACACATAAACACAGGTTCAAAAAAAAAAAAAACATTACTGAAGTTTCCCAATGTTAGAATATAGTGGATCTAACCATATTTGATAGATAAAAACACAACAACAAAAACTTAAGTGACATGCCCAAGGTGACTCAGCTAACAATTGGTGAGACAGAAGCTCAAACCCAGGAGTGCTGGTTTGGCAGTGCACAAACCTCCAGTTTGGCCCATTGTCCTGCAGAGTTACGCCTCCAGCATTTGTTGGATGCACACATACGAGACCTATTCTCTGCCCCTCTCGTGTGTACGTATGTGGTGTTGGCCGACCCCCCGTGTATCCCACAAAGTTACGTGTGCTGAAGTTATACTGGCTGCAGCGTCATTTCTTAAATATTTGTGTAGACTGGGACTTGATCACCTTGCACCCCTGCCTCCTCACTGTGCAACTATGTATTGTCCAATTCATTTGGTTGTGTCTGTCTGGCTATGTACATGCTTTTGTTTCTTTCCATGTACTGGGCTTCCTAGGGTAGCATCTTAGTCCAAAACCTGGATATTGGGTTAGTCCAACAAAGCTTATGATACTCGTGACCCAGAGGGTACAAGGTGGGACAAAGTCCTATTTCCACAGAATAGAACAAAATCTAAAGCCATAAGTTTTTAGTATGTGCTTTTCTCTACTTTCCCTTAGGTATGTTGAGAGTTGGTACAATTGGACACTAAGAAAGCATTAACCTGTTTTCATCTCTTTGATGCCAATTTTCATCAAATATAGCAAGATCTACTGTGAAAATAGGACTTTTTTTCATATATTACTGGTGTTCCTGTGTCTTCACTTTTTATTCTGGCTTCAAATATATATAAATGCACATTATATATATATATGACGTGCATTCTTTATATGTATATATACACACAACATTCTATCTATCTAGCTAGCTACACACACACATACATAGGATAGGCTTGGCTTTGTTTATTGATCTTTAACACATGTTCTTTTCAGTTCACATTAACATAAGTAGAAAAGCAGTGTTAAGTCCTTTTTACCTTTTTTATCTTAGCTTTGGATAAACTATGTAAGTTCCATCTATTTGCCTTATTCCATAATTTCTGATTTTTGCCCTCTACTTTGTTAATGGATGAACTCTAAATCCTTTTGGATGAACAAAGTGAGTCATAAATTAATTAGTTGAATTTCAATTTTTTATTTCTATGGTTTGGCAATTCACTGGATTTCTAAAATAATTACTCTCTTTCCAAATATCAAAGCCATCCGAAATGCAAGTTACTAGGAGTTCCTTTGTAATGTTTTTGATTTGGGAATCAATTGAGAGTGCTCCTTGCAAACAAAGTCTGCTCAGCTGATTTACTAAGAGAATAATCTCTTATCATTT